ATAATAAATCAACTAGGTACCTGCCTGCGGCGCGCGGACATAGTTATTATACAAATTTTGTTATAATTTTATTATATCAAATTCTTTATTTAACATATTTTGTAAATTTTTTTACCAGATTTAGAAAGTTTTTCTAATATATACGTGACATTCTCTATTTTCAATAGTTGGAACTAAAATATTATATATCCATAAATTACGAAAATTTATTGAGTTATTTATTATTCTAAATTGATTCATATAACTCATGTATTAACGTTATTTAACAATCGTCTACACTTATAAATAGATATATATATATTATAACATAATATATGAAATACTATATTAAATGTCTGTACTGTATAACTTTAGTGGATATATATAATGTAATATAAGAAGTACTATATTAAACGATAACCAAATACAAATTATTTATTATTCTAAATTGATTCATATAGCCCACGTATTAACGTTATTTAACAATCATCTACATTTATAAATAGATATATATATAACGTAATATAAGAAGTACTATATTAAATGTCTCTACTGTATACTTTAGTGGATATATATAACGTAATATAAGAAGTATTATACTAAATGATAACCAAATGCAAAGGAAAATATAATAAAAGAAATATCAAATAAAATAAAAAGATTCAACATAACATAAGATATAAAGCTTTATCATGAGAAAAAAGAAATGTAGCTTATACAATGATATTAAGTCTTGTTGCATGGAATTTAAAAAGATAAAAATTAAAACTCTATCATAATCAAACGATCTTGTTCAGGGGTCTTTTTTTGTGCTTGTTCCAACTTGCGTCTCCGTCATGTTAAACTTGTTTTGAATCCTGAAAGCTTAAGAGACACATATGTATTTAAAGGTTATTGTATATATAAAATATTCTCAATATCATTGTCGGATTACTTATTTTCTCTTGAAAATCAGGACATCATCAGTAGTAGGAGCAAAGAGGAGACGGGAAAAACCAATTGCATCATGAGCATGGATAGTTATTTCATCTATATACATAAAACGATCAGTAAGAACTATACATGCAAAATAAAACATTTATGAAATTAATGAAGATAATAATGGCATATGCTTCATGACCCATACTTTTTTTATTCTTTACGCTCCAATTGGTTAAAACACAAACTGCAAGAGGACCAGTGAATCCTTTGCTTCTTTCTTTGATGTCAGCAGCAAATTCTCTGTGTGAGATACATTTCAATTTCAAATCTCTTCGATTTAACAATAAAAGTTATAAAATTTATTAACAAGTCATAGTGATCATGAAAGAAAATATTGCTTACTCGAGATCTCTAATGGTGAAAGTTATTTTCTGAACAGTATCTCCATCAGGATTGTCTGCGGCGCGCGGGCATAATACTCTAGAATTACATACAAAATTAAATTTAATTATTCATTTTTTAATTTCATTACTATTTAGATTTGTAATTGATTCTTTTGAAATTAAAATTTTTTAAAAGTCTCTACAAACATTTGCTATAAATTGCTGATGTTAAGTTTAATTGACATAACTTTATTATATATAACATTAAACATCTTCATATTCTTATACTTTATAATCTTCATCTTCTGCTTTCTTATCTTTAATGTCTTTGTCCTTGTATTCTCAACTTTTTCTTTATAATTTCCATCTTCGTTTTTTTTCTTTTGAAAAAAAAAACTTCCAAGACTAATATCACGATGTTCTCATTTGACTGTATAAGAAGTTGATCCACATATAACTCTACTCAGAATAAAATGAATAAATAATTGTTTTAAAAGGATGCACTAACTTATAAAAAAGTACAATGCATCAATCTGTTTAAAATACATATTTATGTTACCAAATACATCATCAGTGATATATATTTAAATCGGTTAAGGGGCTTGTAGGCATCATTATAGTAACTGGTTCTGGTTTGGTCATATCCAGTGTGGCGGAACAACATGAACAACAATTGGAACTCAACTAAACATGAACAACAGCTGGAACTCAAAGTCTGCAAAGCTTTTAAAGCTCATGTTTGCTACAAAAGATAAAAAGGAAAACACATAGTATTGAGAAGCACAAACCTGTGCAACTAAAATATTGGAAGACGTTCTATGATGAGTGGACTTGATGATCGCCACTTATGGGACTATCACAAAAAGATATTTCGGTGTGAGATAGATGTCTAAGGGAAGAGGAAGCAACCTAGTAATCGTCTTACATAGATATTTGGGAACATTACCTTTTGGCGAATCTCTGCCATAAAGATCTTTATGCTTGCGAGATAGATCAATTAGGAAACTTTCATCCCTTTGAACGAATCAAGAGAAGAAAAGTGTGAAATCATCCTCGTCGGCAATAAATTCCTAATCGAAAAAATAAGTCCATCTCTCTCTTACTAAAAGGACAAAAAGTTAAATAGTTGAAGAATTCAATCACCCCTATGACAAATAAAGAAGGAAAATTGAATTAAAAAAACAGAACATAACATACCAAGAGCAAACTTTGATGTTTGTGCCACCATCGTGCCTCTTTGATGAGTTTATGTTGTATACCAATGACCCAAAACATCTAAATTAAACTCATGGGAAAACAAATAAAACGAATCAAAGAAAGCTCATCAGAGCTCATGGTCGTGATCAGATTCCAAGAATTGACCAATTCAAGACCTGAATTATTAGATCAAAGATACAAAATACACATAATAAAACCATAAGAAAAGAAATAAGAAAAATTGAACAAACCTCTTCGGAGCTCATGGTCGTGGTCGGATTTCAAGGATTGATCAACTGAGACCTAGAATATTATGTAAAGAATACAAAATACACATAATTTACATACATGAAAAAAGCATGACAAAACAAAGAGATCAATGCTATTTAAACCATCTCTTTTGTTCTTCTCTTTTATATAATAGGAAGAAGAAAATATTTATATGTTCAACTAAAACCTCTAAAGAAAAATAAAGATACCATGAAAATTAAGTTTTCCAGATTAAAAAAAAAACAGAATATCAAAACAAAGAGGTAAGCAATACCTGAAATATCGTTTAAGTTTTTTTTTTAATCCATGGTCGCCTTTACCAAATTTCGAGATTGTATTTTAAGTGACCTAAAAGAAAATTAGATCAAAGCTTAAGATTCAAATCAAAAACTCAAAAAAGACGAACAAACACCAAAGAAGATGAACCAATCCAAATATGTGCATATAATACATACACACTATTTACCTTAAACTCTTGAATGCCATGAAATTAAAAAATAACTTGCAAAAGAAACTTCACCATTAAAACAACCACATATATGTTCGTAACGTAAACGAAGCTGCGTCTCATAGATGCTTGTTCTTTGAAGCTAAAGAAAAAACAGATATGTATATGACCTAAAAAACAATTAGAACAAAAAATGAGAGGAAAGTTAAATAGCCAAACTATCAATTAAGAGTTTTAAAGTTATACCTCAACTTCTTCTGCCCGCCACTAAGAATCCTTAAGAAAAACACCTAAAGAAAAGAATTTGAATAAACCCTAGAATAAAAACTAAAAAACTACTATACATAATGAATATGAAAGGGATCTGAAAGTCCTCACCAAATTATATTTTGCTTCTAATCGTTTGCTTTGTTTCATCCACGTACCCAAAAATCAAAAATCAAAAGATCAGTTCATACAAAAGATCAGTTCATACAAAATACAAAAAAAAAAACAAAAAATAACAACCAAAAAAATCAAAATTGATCTTATTGAAATAAGAAATAACAACAAAGATAAATATCTATCGTACTGAAATAAGAAAATAAAACATTCATAAAATAAACTAAACCTAAACGATGAAAAGAAACTCGGTTAAAAAAGAGAACATGTAACCAATATGAGAGGAGACACAAACTATATATATATATATGCGACTTGCTTTTTAGGGTTTAGAGGTTTTCCATTTTTGTTTATTACGATCAATATCGATATAACCAAATATTCTTTTTTGATTAACCGAATATTTTTTCTTGATTTGTATAAATAGATTCGGCATGATCCTTTCCATTTAGTGAATATTTTATTATTTATAATGAGAAACTTCTAGAAAATTTGTGGTAAATATCTGTTTTCGATAAAAACGAATAAAAATGTAATATTTCTGTTTTTAATGATTAAAAATGTTTTTTCAAACCCAGATTAATTAAATAGAGAATTCGAAAAAAAAAAAAGTTAGAGAATCGAACCTGCTACATGAAAGATAAGAAACCGAGTACTTAACCAATAAATCTACCATTATTTTTGGTAAACTTATCGGTTTCTATATATATATTTTATTATGGACCAAAAAATAGTGATTGAGCCATTTCCTTCCAAACATAGGCTTTAATCTACAATTTATTGGGTTTTAATTATAAAATATTTCTTTTTTTGTTATAAATTTATTAAAATATTAATTAAATAAAATAGACCAATCAGAAGATGTTATTTTCATTAATGGCATAAACGTAATTTATCATTCTCAACAAAAACATGGATTTGAGCCGTTTTTCTATAGATCCAATCAGAAATATATATATAATTAAATAAAATCAACCAATCAAATTATATTAATCAAAACGACATCAAAAATAGTGCATTGAACCACAACCCAATTCACTTCGCATTTACTATAATATATAGATGTGTAGTCAACACATATACCGTTAGTGAACTATATACATGTGTATATTGGTGTGATACTGTCATATCATCATTATTATCACATTTATGTACGTCTAAATTAAGCAATTTGGAAAAAAAAAATTTCATTCAAAATCACATTACGGTTGGGATTTATTAGGATTGACGAAAATTGATATTTTTTTTTGGTCTTTTGGTCAACGATTGAAGAGGGTTTTACACGTTTGATGCGTATTCCGTTTTAGAGCGATTAAAACAACAAACTGTTACGTTTCAGTTCCCGTAGACGACACGATGTTTGTACCCAATTGCGAATCACGACGTATACAAGGCAAAGGCGCGGAGACTTGACTCCTACAATGGCGAAACGAAACACCAGTTTCGATGATGGGTTCACGGCAATATTCAACAGGGAGATAGGCTTCTCTCCTCCCAGGTCAATCTCTCGTCGAATCTACGCTTCACAGGTTCTCATATTTTACCTCACCGCTCGATATTTCTCCATGTTTTTGTCACTCTCTCTTGCTTGTTCCGTTTTCGTATGAGACTTTTGTTTACTTGGGGAGAGTGAAATTTAGCTTTTTTTCGTGTTCGGAATTGGTATAAAAATTGTGGGTTTTGGATGGCTTTGTCATAATTATCAGAAAGTCTTCCCATTTCGTGGATTTGTACTTTGGAATCCATGGATCTTAGTGTTTGCTAAGACAAAGTCAATGATGGTAAAGTCGAACACGTTTGATTCGAGCTTCAAATGTATTATTTTTAAAAAATTCTAGTTCCCAGAGAACGATCATGAATCCAGACAATCTAGCTATCAGTGTTTTGTTGGATGCTGAGAGAATCCGAACCAATCTAAAGCGCAATGTTTTTGTAGGACTGTGTAAAATTGAAGGCTCAAATTAAGTTCTTAAGATTGAAGTGTATTGCTTTTTTTTTTTTTGCTACTTCAGGGGCAAGTGAAGAAGCTCGATCTTTATGGGAAGTTAATTGGGCATGAAGGATGCGTTAATGCGCTGGATTTCAATTCTACCGGAGATATTCTTGTTTCGGGTTCTGATGATCGACAAATCATACTCTGGAACTCGTTGAATAGAAGCAAGACATTGTCGTATCCTTCAGGCCACTGTGAAAATGTGTTCCAGACGAAGTTCATACCGTTCACAGATGATCGAACAATCATAACATCTGGTGCTGATGGACAAGTATGGTTTGTTAATATTTAACAATTTATAGCAATGATCATATGAGATGTTTACTTTTCTTCTCAAAGAAGAGTTTAGGGGCACAAAAGCTTTAAGATTCTCTCCCTGTACATAGTTTAAATCATTTGAGTCCATTGCATTTTGCAGGTAAGGCTTGGTCAGATCCTAGAAAATGGTAAAGTGGAGACAAAAAGACTAGGGAGACACCACGGTAAAGTGTACAAGCTTGCTGTTTTGCCTGGAGATCCCAACATATTCTACAGCTGCGGCGAAGATGGTTTTGTTCAACATGTTAGTCTCAGTATCCTTCATGCTCCATAGTCTTTTTTCATTTCTCAAACTCAAATTCCGAACTTCTCTTTGTTTTTCTCTTTTGGGACAGTTTGATATACGAACCAACAGTGCCACAATGGTTTTGTATTCCTCTCCGTTCACACAAGGCTGCAGGAGACATCACTCAAGCAGTAGAATCAGACTGAATTCTATAGCCATAGATCCGAGGAATCCACATTATCTAGCGGTTGGGGGTTCAGATGAATACGCAAGAGTCTACGACACTAGAAGAGGACAATTAGCTCCAGTGTGTCGCCACATCTTACCAAATGCTCCTGTGAACACTTTCTGTCCCAGTCATCTCCGGGAAAGCAACAGTGTTCACGTCACGGGATTGGCATATTCCAAAGCCAGCGAACTACTAGTCTCTTACAACGACGAGCTCATCTATCTGTTTGAGAAGAACATGGGTTTTGGTTCGTCTCCTGTTGGTATCTCTGCTGAGAAACTACAAGGAATGGAAGAGCCACAGGTGTATACAGGTCACCGCAACGCACAAACGGTTAAAGGAGTGAACTTTTTCGGTCCAGATGATGAATATGTAACGAGTGGTTCAGATTGTGGTCACATCTTTATATGGAAGAAGAAAGGAGGTCAGCTTGTTCGAGCAATGTTGGGTGATAGTAGAGTGGTGAATCAGCTCGAGTCTCACCCACACATACCGTTTCTTGCGTCTTGTGGGATTGAGAAGAGCGTTAAGCTCTGGACGCCAATGTCAAAGGATGTTCTTTCTCTGCCTGAGAACATTGAAAAGGTAAACTAACTAGTAAGAATCACATCTCCTCTCAAACCACTGTGTCTAATTACACGTTCTAACCACTGGTGGGAAAATGCAGGTGATGGAATCGAACCGGCTAGGAAGAGAAGACCATTCGAGAGTGACATTGACCCCTGATGTAATCATGCATGTTCTTCGGCTACAGAGACGTCAGACATCGGCTTTTACAGAGAGAAGATACGTTTTTACCGACATTGACGTTGACGAAGGTGATGAAGATGCTCGTTTTATATCAGGGTTAGTCGCCAGCGATGATGAGTCTTCAGAAAGAGAATGCACTGTGAGCTGAGTCCTAGTGTTGTTATATAGATTACAGGCCCCTTCATGTGTTTTAAAACACTTGTGGGTTTTGTTTGTGTGTTGTAATAACTTTTAATAATGTGAAAACAAGAATGGAAAAATCATCGGCTATAAACAAAACATGTGCATGCAAACGGTCTTGCTGGATTACTTGTCACTTAAACCAATTTTAATTGCAAAAAGACAAGTATAAGAAGCCATAATCTATATTAACGAGGTCTCTTGCAAGAAGAATATCCAGGACTAGTAACAAATTGTTCATATCCAATAGAGAAGATTACTCAAATATCCTCCAATGTTTATTAATAGTTTTACATATTTTCATTTTTTATATTAGATTAACTTGATCTTGTCTTTTTATGTTTTGTTGAAAATAATATTATTACAAAAATATCATTACTTTTTATATGCCACGTAAGCAAAAAGTAACGCAACATTAAACATAAGTCTACCACTATTTGTAGGAAACTTGTACAAATTTGGTCAACGCAAATTTTTGTTGGTAGATTTATTTGAGAGATGGTAAATTTGTAGAAACTTAGTAGACTTGTTTTGGGAGACATATTTTTATAGCATAGTAGACTTATTTTTTGTTGGTAGACATTTATTGTTGGTAGATTTATTATCTTTAATGATAGACTTATATATATATATTCTGTTGATTTATGGTAAGTGTTTGACTTTTTTGGTAGATTTAAATAGTAATGGCGATATATTTATCTTAAAATTTGGTAGACTTATTTGTAATAGTGACATATTTATTTAGTTTGATGTATAGTAGACTTATTTTGATAGGTAGATTTATTACTATATATAAGAGCTTTATCACGAGTTGGTAGATTTATTAGTATGTATGGTAGATTTAAAACAATCGTATTTCAGAAAATAATGAGGTAGATTTAGTTATAAACTAGATTTTAACCCCATGCGTCCCACGGGAATTTTTAATTTTTTTATTTCTAATATATGTTGCATTTATTTTTTTGTTTAGATATAATTTGTTTTTGTTATTTATTTTTTAAATCAAAAAATTGTTATCATGTTTTAATTTTAAACAGTAAAAATTTGTATATTAAAATAAAAATATGCGTTAATTAAGTATACATTGATCTAATGTTAATTATAAACTTTGTTATTATGTGAATTTAGATTTACATATAAAAAACCTATATATCTATGAATTTGCTAACCTGTCCTTTTAGTTGTCTTAAATCATTTTTAATATCTTACATATTTTGAAAAATTAACCCATATAATGCTATAATTATAAATGTATAACCCTATAAGTATTTACTAATATTGAATATTTGGATCAATTGATTATGAAAAATTATAATAAAATATTTATTTACTATTTGTGCTAGTACAAAATATATATATATATATATATAAACTGGCTAACCTGTTAGTTTAATTGTCTCAAATTATCTTAATATCGTATATGTTTTAATAATTTAAGTCATAGACCTTAAGTATATATATATATATCATATATATTATAAGCAAAGTAAAATTTTGAGTTAAAGCTCTCTCATTCATTCTTAGGGTGGCTAATTACCTTTTACCCATCCTTATATTTTTTAAAACTAAATTTAATAAAAAAATTATTAAAAATCGTAAATTAATTAAAAAATTATTAAAAATCGTAAATTAAATAAAATATTAAAAAACGTAAATTAATAAAAAAAAAATTGTTAAAAATCGAAATTTAATCAAAAACATTTAAATTTAATAAAAAATATTAAAAATCGAAATTTAATCAAAAAATGTTTAAAATAGAAAATAACAAAAATTTAAAAATTGGAATTTAATCAAAAAAACATTTAAAATCATATCATATATAATATATGCGAAGTAAATTTTTCGCTATAAAGTCTCTCATTCAATCTAGATAACTAATTCCCCTTTATTCGTTAATAAAATCTTTTTTAAATATCTTTAATTAATTTATTTATTTTCGTAGTTTGTATAGCAATTTTGCTGCCACTTTTAGTTATTTTGATAATATTAAGATAATTTTAATCAGATTATCTGTTGAGCAAGATTATCTGGAAAAAAATATACATGTGATGTGGGAAATCTTAGCTTAAGTTGAGAGCTATATATAAATATATTACTTTAATTTTTAAATGTATCTTAAGCTCAATTGTGGTTTGATTTCTACATTGGTCGGCTTTTCGTTGTATTGTTTACCATCTTTATTTTTTATAAATCAATTTTTCGTTTTTTCTATTATTTTTTCCGTTTTTCAGTACCAGTAGTAGTGTTCCTCGATTATATGTTGTTGTTTTGGGTTGTAAGTTATTCTTCCTTACTTAACGTGATTAAAACCATGTCAACATATCATAAATCATCTTCATTTTCTAATGAACAGGTTTTAAGTCTTTTGTTTTAAGTATGGCTTTCTGAATTCTGTTTATTTTTGGAATAATGTAAGAGAGGCCAAATACACTAGCAGGACGCAGAGGAAAAATTCGAAAAAGAAAACAGAAAAAGGAAAAAAGGGAAAAACGAAGTAGAAAAAGAAGAGAAAGAAAATAAATTGAAACATATAGAA